AAGCGGGAGGTGCTTGCCTCGGGCTGCACACCCGACTGCAGCGTGATCTTGTTCATTTGCTTCGCCAGAGCCTGTGCAGCTCCTTCCATGGCCCCGTCCGGTTTGCTGGAGTCAGAAGAGCAGCTTCCCGGCTGTGAGCTGCACCTCTCCTCCGCGCTGGAGCTGCCTGGGGAGACGGGGGTCAGGCGGCTTCTTTTCCCTCCATGTTCCACGTCGATATCCACCTCGATGCCTAGAGGCCAAGGAGGAGACAAAAACCCTAAGTCCTCAGAGGGCGCCTGCCGCTTACAAAGCATTCACATTCAGCCCCAAAGCGGGAGGGTTGGGATGCTGGCATCCACTCCAGACCCGGCCACATGCCAACACAGGACCAGCTCAGGTGGCAGCCACCAGCAAGAAGGCAAGTGGATGGTCATTTGTGACCTTCACGATCCCAAGGGCTGAACTCCCCAAATCCTGGCCCAAATCTTCCTGGCTTCTAGAAACTCACTGCACCTCTCTCTTCCTCCAGCATAAAAAAACATTAATTGACACCCAGGTCAGTTTCAGAGCCAGTAAGTCCAGAACGAGTCCGTTTCCCCCGCACCAGGCAGGACAGACCTGCACAGAGAGGGCCAGGACCTAGGAACCGGGGACCACGTGTGGCCAGAACGCCCCGCTGGTGCTGAGGCACAGGAGCTCCGTGCTGTTTGAGGGGCCGAGTGAGGTGAAAACCACGTGCACTCAGCACTGGCATTCTGCTTGGGCAGGTGCACAGCTCTGCAGGTTGGATGAGCTGGTGTGGCACCTGTGGTCATTCTTTCAGACCCTTCCTGCCACTGCAGTCACCAAGATGAGCGCTCATCTCATCTGAGGGCATGGGTCTGTGGTCATCTTGAACCAGAAGTCACCTTTAACCGATTCTCACTGCAGGAGGCCTAGCCCTGAGCACCCACCTGCAGACGAGCAGACAGACGCAGTGGGTGCTTTCAGAAGCCTCAGAGGCCACACCTGTCACACCCCTGGGGTCCATGCGGCAGTTCACTAACCCAGAGACCTGCTCTGAACCTGGCTTCACTCAGAGCCCCTTCCTCTTCCTCTCTTTCTCCCTGCTCCCAGCACCGGCATCAGCCTGCACTCGGGAAGCACCAGGAAAGCTTGGGGGTTGCAAAGAAGAGGGAGAAAAAGAGAAAAGGCATCTCAACTGACTACTCGCCCCAAGCCCTTGAGGAAATCCCAGGCTCGGGAGGAGGAAATGCAGGCTGTTCGCCCCCAAGGACAAGGCAGGCAGCCCTGCGACTGAGCTGGTCAGCCTCCCTCCTGGGACTGTTCTAAGACCCGGCTGGCTCTCCTGCACTCGGGGCAGCTCAAGAACCTGTCAGGGACTCCAACCTCGAGTGGCCTGTGGTGCAGCGCTTGGCAAAGGTTGCCTTGAGGCCACCAGGCCTTACTAGTCTCAAGGGTGTTCCCATCCCTCTGCAGTGTCTCAGCTGAAAGCTGCAAACAGCCACGCACACACTGAGCTACCATAGGCCCTGCTGGTACCAAAGGTCAGACAAACACTTACCCAGGGGGCTGAGGGCGGCTGCCACACTCTCCCCTACGTTCTTGAGGAAATTCACACTGGGATCCTCCGATGGACCAGAAGCTTTGATTTTTAAAATATAAAAATAACGATATGTTTAATTAATACATGTCTCAATGACCTTGATACCTATTGCAGTGCTGTCACCTTTTTCCTGCACGCTCTCCATCCCGGGGGCCTTTCCTGGCAGCCTGCGACCTTGTTCCCTCCCGCCCCTGCCCACCTCCTGGGCCCCTTCACCCCGCTTCATCTGTGACCCTGGTGATCGGAACCCCGAGAGGGGCTCAATACACACATTATAAAATACCAATCACATCCTAGATATGTTATTTTCTCAAAATCAAATATCTCCACCCTTGTCCCAAAGGATGAGGTGAATCAAAGGACACAGTAATAAAACCAGAATCCAAAAATCTAGAATGCAAGCTCTCTGTAGTTTCTAACTTTGTGACTGTGTTTATGAAGACTTGACCTAATTTGGCTCTGACTTTCCTGACAGCTAACAAGAGAACAGAACACATTACCGAGAAGGTGTGGAGGGTGCTAAGTGGGCGGGGCCCAGGCTGGGTTTAAGGCAGGTGAACTAGTGGCCGTGGACACTCAGGCCCGTCTCCCCATTTGTAAAGCGAAGAAAGTGCTCCCCCCTCTGCAGGGTTTGGTGAGGATGAAATAACCTCAGTGGCTGTGAGTCCAGCCCCGCACGGCACAGCAGGAACTGGGGACATGGGGAAGGCCCCCCAGCCTGCGGCCCTGTCACCTCACCCTGCAGAAGCCAGCAGACCAAGGCTCACCGGAGTTTGCTGTGGGGCTGGCCTGGGTGTCCCCCGCCCGAGGAGGACGTGGGCTCCAGTTCCCAGGTAGGCCCATCTCCCAGGCAGGCCACCCAAAGTGCCCGTGTTTCAGCTTCCGGAGCCAGCGGCTGTGAGGGAAGCCCTGAGGAGAGGAAACAGGGCAAGTGGCGCTGGGTCAGGAGGCTCCGGCCACCCTGCGCCCACCCTGGCCAGCAGGGAGGCCCGGCTCACCTCAAAGGGGCTGGGGAGGGCGAGCTTGCTGTGCTCCCTGTGCATGCCCTTCCCCTCGCAGCCGGCACACAGGTCGTAGTCAGGGCAGACACTGCACTTGTACCGGGTGCCCACCACTGGACCGTTGCAGCCATCGCAGATCACATTGGGGTGCACCATGTTGTGAGGTGCCTCCTGAGCACATGGGGGGCGGTGGTCCCGCCGGCACTCCTTCCTCTCTGCATGGAGGGCAGAGAGCCATGAGGTGGGTCCCACAAAGTGTCCCCTTGTCACTACCGTGGGCTGCAGCACTGTCAGCAGCCCCTGGTCCCGCTCTCCAGACACCGAGTCCATGTGGGATTCAGCTGCTCAAGTGACAGCAATAAAGTGACCTGAGAACCTGCCGGGGGGGTCCCAGCACCTGGGCCCGAGTGGCCCGCGTGGGAGAGAAGCAGCGGGGGCTGTGTCTGTACAGCTCTGGTCCTGCCCTTCGCTAAAATAAACCCCACAGCACCCCAAAAGCTGCTCCAGGCCACAGCACTTGGTCTGGGCACAATCAACAGTGAACCCAGAGATCTTCTGCCCCCACCCACTGTGGTGGACACGGACTCCTGCTCGGGCGAAGCACAGAGGGGACGGTGCCCTCTCCACAGCCCGCACCCTCCATGCTGGGGGTTTCTCCACAGCCCCAGGTGGCGGTTCTGCTTGGAGGCAGCACCCCAGGCGGCCCCTTACCTTTAATGTAAATACGGAAGAGGTCATCCTTCACGTATGCCATGGCCATCGTCAGCTCCTCGTCACTGGAAAAGGCAACCAAGTCCCCGTCCTCATCTAGATTGTTTAAAAGACAGCACATGAGCACCCAGGCTTCTCCCCTGCACACAACTGCTGTGAAGGGCTGAGGCCGGCGCTCCAGGAGCACCTTGGGGGCTATCCCTGAAGCCCACCAGTGTGAGGCAGGGGGAGCAGGACTGAGGCCAGACTGCTCATCCCGCTGGCGCTGCCGGGAAGGTACGGACTCCAACCTGGGCCTGGGGGCACGGAGGAGGCAGAGTACCGTGTGCACGGGCAGCAGCCATAGTGGCTACACACTGCTCTGCTTCCAGGCCAGCTGCCCCTTCACAAAGGGGCTGCCTTGGTCCACATCTGACCAGGCCCAGACCCATCATCAACTGTGGCTCCCCACCTGTGACCTGTTCCTGGAAAACCAAGCCCCTCCAAAGGCCGTGGGCCTCTCGGGGTTTAGGAGAGGAAATTAGGTGACTCCATCTGCTCACTTCCTTCCCCAATGAAGCTAAAACTATGGATTTGTTTGCAGTCTCCTTTTTAGATGTTGGCTCAACATGGTTTTAAAGCACCACCATGTAGGTCACAGCACACCGTACATCTGCAGGCTGGGCCAGCTGCGTGGGCCACCGGACAGCACCTACCGTAAGACTAGGGGCAGTGCCAAAAGGTGAAAACAACCCAAACATCCATCAGCTAGTGAACCAACAGATAAACAAATGTATGTCCATACAACTGAACATTACTCAGCCACCAAAAAAAGAACGAAGCAGACACATGCTCCAACACTGGTGTACCTGGGAAACATTATGCCAAGTTTTTAGAAGCCAGTTGTGAATATTTATATGAAATGTCCAGAATAGGGAAATCCATAGAAAAAAAGAGTGCATTCGTGGTTGCCTAGGGCTAGGATGGGAGGGTGGCCAAGGAAGAGGTCCTTTATAAGGCAGTGAGAAGATTCTAAAATTGTGATCATAGCTGCACAACCCTGTGAATATGCTAAAAATTATACACTTTAGCCCGGCCAGCGTGGCTCAGTGGTTGAGCGTGAACCTATGAACCAGGAGGTCAGGGCTCCATTCCTGGTCAGGGCACATGCCCAGGT